TAGGATAAAAAATAGAAATCTATAAAGCAATTTTACTATTAATAGAGTTGTTAAAATTATAAGTAAATCTTAGAAAACTGAATGGAGTAGCATAGCAAAAGAATACCATATGCTGATTAAGTAATTGCCAACAATTAGTCTCGCCTCCACACCATTCACATGCTAAACATAATCCCATCATTAATGCCTCTCATCACAGTAGTGTTACTTAAGGAAGAGGAATAAGTAGGGGGAGGACATGGGTAATTTGGAAAAAAGAAATGTGCTTACTGTGTCAGTCACCAAGAGGAGCCACTGTTCCATGCAGGCCAGGAAATAAAATGTTTTAAATAATCCTATTTTCCCCTCTTCTATTCTGAATTTCCTAGATGCTTTGAAATACACTAATTTCATTTATAATCCTTAAAAGAATCAATCAGAAATACTCAGGAGGAAAGCAAAAAACAAACAAAAAACAGTATCGTAAATGTTCCTGAGTGAGAATGAGATTGGTAGTCTTTAAAATGTGAAACCAACCAAGTTTGGACTGAAGCCTTCTCATATTCCCATCGGTATTCCTATTCAGACATGGGTATTCTTCATGGCTCCAAGAAACTTCAAAATGCATTCAAATTAGGACTGTCCTCAAAATATAAACTGCTGACCAGTGTTCTCTGAAATTTTTGGAACGGTAAGATCTGATGTCTTATTCTAAGACCAGCTGAAACGGAGTTAATTAAGTTACCACCAACTATAGCCAGCTTATCAGTGCTCCCCTCGACTTACAACAGTGTTGGCCAAGGTTAAGGTCATTTAGACATCATAATTACAGATTCTGGTTATCACTCTAAGGGTCTTCTTTATTATGAAAAGACATAACATATAAGCAATGTGTTCACAGTTCAAGCCAATGAAAATTGGAATTTGTTTACGACCATAATAAGAGTACGTGTTAAGTCAAATTGCCGTAAGTCAAGGACTGCTTATACTAAACCTCAATTTTATGGAGTATAGAGACACAATTTTATTGAGTATAGAGATGTACAATTTATATAATTATAATGTATACATATATGCACAAGTGTTAATATATGTGTATGTGTGCATTATGAGATGAATTATGTCTCTCTCAAATTCATATGTTAAAATCCTAACCTCTAGTACCTCAGAATATGTCTATATTTGGAGACAGGTAATTAAGTTAAAATGAGGTCATTATGGTGGGCCCTTAGCCACTATGACTGGTGTCCTTTTAAGAAGAACAAATTTGCGTGCAAACATACACAGGAAAGACCATGTGAAGAGACAGGGACAAGATGACCATGGACAAGCTAAGGAGAGAGGCTTCAGGAGCTGATGCCCTAATCTCACACTTCTAGCCTCAAGAACTGTGAGAAAATTAATTTTTGTTATTTAAACCACTCAGTCTATGATACTTTGCTATGATAGTCCTAGCAAACTAATACTCTGCTTATGTGTGTAATTTGAAATCTAATTGTTACTCATGTCAACAGGTGTCCCCCTTACAACATAGTAAATCTCATTTCAGAGACTGTGTAAAGTCTAAGATCCTTCCTAAGATTCTTGAAAACTCCTAGGGACTAGTGTCCTTCTAGCTTCAACCTCCTGCCTCTTCTCAATTACCTCAGTTCAGATGTCATTTCCAATCTCCAACTTCTGTGGTCCTTATCCTGTGCTAACCTAGAGTGGACCTCAGGTTTCTCCATTAATTTCCATCAAAACAAAATAAAATAAAGTAAAATGCTAACAACAACCAAAAACAAAACAAAAACAAAAATCCACCTTCATACAAAGTAATCATGAACGCAGCTTACTTTATATCCCAGAAATGCAAAGAACTTAAAATTGAACATTAGCTATCTCTGCTCTAACATAGTCCTTTAGCCATTTGCACAAGTGGAAAATCCAGATTCCTACCATGTTCTAATGTCCCCCACTACCTCCTTCTCCTTTCCCCTTCTCTCTCTCTCTCTCCCTCCCTCCATCCATTCTTGATATACCCTGATCTTCTCTACTCTCTTCTTGGCTCTTCCCCCATTCCCAACAGTTTGGCAATCAGTTTTTGTGAGTTTGACTTATGTTATCAGGATCCCCTTTTCTATTTCAAGTAGCTAATCGAACTATTTTCTCAAAGAATTTCCTTCCTCAGAGAAACCCCAGAGCCAGCCATTAAAGTAATAGTTTTATTCCACCTACATTATATTTAGCCAAGTTTCTGTAAAGAGTGAAGGTAATTTTTCAAGTTGTTTTTTCACTCTGATCCAAAAAGAATTAAGATCAATTATTTAACATCTAATAACAACACATTACCCTTCTATGTAATCTCTAAATTGACTTAGATTTAAAACCACCATTAAACCTGTTGGAAATTATTTTTAAATTTTGAAGCCTCATTGGAACTTTTAATCACACATATGAACTCTGAACCTTATTTGTTAAACTGTCAACTGCTGCATTCAGCAAATGATTTAAATTATGATTGCAAAGTGGAAAACTAAGAAGAACCTTCTACATCTGTCACATTTTATATGGAACATAAGAAAGATGGCTTCATTTTACCTTTATTCAAAAATCTCCCACACAATTAGTATGTGTTGATGTAGGTTGCCTATTTGAAGAATGTGTTTATGGTTTGAGGAAGAAAATGCAAATAAATTCTAGTTCAAAATCACTTCTTAGGAAACAGGCTACTACTGCCACCTGGGGGAGGTTCTTTCTGCTTCATTCAAGAAAGCCAAATGTGCTTGTCAGATGAATGAAAACGGTTCATGTTTTCCTTGTTATATCCACACAGGAAGACTTTTTAACTTTCTGCCCATGAAGTCATAAGGCATTCCAGATGTCTCCAAGATTCCTTCACAAAGAAATACATACTTCACAGACTTTTTGAGAGGTATAAGAGAAGATGAATCAGAATATAACCATATTAAGGTTTCTACATCTTACACACTGAAAAGGTAGTTGGAGAAGTAGGGGTTATATAGAGAAAAAATTAAAGCTTTCAATAACAAAATGAAACCCGATTTTAAGCAAAATGTATTTGGCCTCAATTTACAGTTGGTTGTACTCCTTTTCTGAAATATGCTATCATTAATTGATACAGGAACTACATGTGCAGATATGAGCATGCTAGTGATTACCTCAGTTAGGATAAAATAATTTCAATTCCATGGAAATAGCCAAGCATTTTCTGATAGAATTTTTGAATTTATGAACTAAATACTGTTATGACCTCAATATCTATTGATTGCATGTATATTGCATATCTATTTGTTGAAACTTTTGATGAAGTAGTATAAATGAGGAACATTCCATCATTTACAATGGAAAAAAACATAACCATTGCTTTTGAATCTAGTTTGTGTTTAATAGTTGTCAATCTTGCATCTTTATGCTGTAGATAAGCTGTTACCTAATAGAGATGCCCTAAAACAAAGAATTTAATCTTGGAAATAAAGTTTCAGGAAGTATCTGTTGAAATGACCAGCCTGTCAGATGACAAAAAAAAAAAGTCAGTGCTGATTAGAGAAAGACAACTAACCATTTATGGGGAGGATTCTGGTCATAGATTAACTAAATAAAATACGTACAGTATCAGTCCCAGAATGGTACGGTAACACTTTCAGAAGGTTAAAGTTCATACCAAAGAACAACAGTACCAGCTCCAGGGAAGTCTTTGTGGAAAAAGTATTTTTAAGATTGGAAAAGGTAGGTGACATACAGCGAGTATATTGGGATTCTATAATAATTATTATTTTTTTAATTACTCATTTGATTCAGGAGTAAAAAGAAATCTGAGTGACTGTGGCTCAGCCAACACAGCTGAATGAGCTGGGTAAACTGGGGTCACCTTGAGGGGCTCCAAAAATGAGTGTCTTTTGTGTGAGGGTGTGAGGTTCCTTCAAAATGTTCATAGTAGAGTCTAGGGAGTTTGGGGTGAGGGGCAGTAGAGGACAAGAAAGGCCAGAGGTACATAAAACTGAATAATAGAAGTACAAGTTATAAGCAAAAATAGTAAATATGCAATTTTAATTAAATGTCCTTACTTCTGAATCAGCAGGTTGAGTTCATTTGGCAATTGGCCTGTAGCTCTGTTGTACTGATCTAATGAAAATGATCAATGACCTTAAAATGCTTATGTTCTACACAAAAGATTACCTCCATTTTAGGGGTGCTGTAAATGGAATAGATTCTCCCAAGATTCTCCTCCCTCCTAACTGAGCTACACAATGTGTTGGGCTTTACTTCCTTTATTCAAAAGCCAATAAGTTACCATGGTAGACCATGAAAATGATTTATTAATTATTTCAGAACAAAAATTACAAGCAGTTCTCATTTTCGTCAGAATGTTGCCTGGTTGTAAAAAAATAGTAAACAAAAACAGAAATCTTCTTTAACAGTATTCATGTTTCACAGGAGACAAACATTCAGGAAGTCAGGAAAGATAATTTTTTGCAGATGCCACTTGTGTATTCCAGGGGTGGGGAGGTGGGGAAGTAGGCGATGTTATTTAACATGCCAGAAAGATCCATTTCTTCCACTCTTCTGTTCCTTCTTCTCCTCCAAGAGTGATTGATTTTCAAATACTGCTGCTAGTCTTTTGAATGAACTCAGAAAACTCAGCACCTATTGCTAAACCGACTCACCTGCCACACTGATGAGTTAACATATTCCTCCTAAAGATGGTTTACATTATCTTCATGTAATTTGGTTTTTCTTCCCCTCATTTTCCTGCAATTATTGCTTCCTCATCTCTTCCTTATCTATATTTGACTTTTCTCTCCTCTCCCACTGCAAACTACCAATATTATTTCAATCTTCCCACTGTCACTGGGGTGTCTCCACTTTAGTGGAGCACTCCTCCATGCTTTAGGCACTATGAATGAGGGGTAAGTAAGCCAAAAGTAGTACCAGCAGTGCTCCAGGCCATGTAAAAAGCCTTACATTGGGTGACTATAGAAGCCTAACTGCTTATGCTGAACCTTCGTTTACCCACAGACATGACAGACTCCAACAAGATGATCATCAACTTGGCCCTCTTTGGCATGACTCAGAGTGGAAAAAGTTCTGCTGGGAACATTCTTCTGGGAAGCACAGACTTCCACAGCAGCTTTTCTCCATGTTCTGTAACCAAAGATTGTTGTCTAGGCCGCAGTTGTCACCTCTGTGGCTTCATGCGTCGAGGAGGGCAAGAGATAACCCTGCAGATCCAGGTGTTGGACACTCCTGGTTATCCACACAGCAGGTTGAAACAGGAGCATGTGAAACAGGAGGTCAAGGAGGCCTTGGCACATCACTTCGGGCAAGAGGGTCTCCATCTTGCGCTGCTGGTCCATAGAGCAGACGTGCCTCTCTGCGGACAGGAAGCATCTTCCTCAGTCCAGATGATTCAGGTAATACAAAAAGGCAATTACACTAATGCCATTATTTCTATTTGGAGGACATTATCCTATGACAATCTGCTCAAAAGAGTAGGTTAGAGCAAGTTTAAAACAAGTGTTGGTCAAATAGAAATGGTAAAAATTACTTGATTTTTCCTATCAAGAGTCATTTTTACAATTTCCTTTAGAGGAATTCAGTTAGTCATTTTACAACTATGTCACAGACAAACCCTCCCACCCCCAAATAAGATGCTAGACTTCAGAGGTTAACTAACCCCTGAATGAGTTTGTAAATGTGGCCTCCAGACTATCTGCTTCAGAATCAACTGGGCTGTTGTTAAAAATGCATATTCATTTAAGCCCTACTGAAACAGAATTTCAAGAGTAGAACCTGCATACCCGCATTTGCATAAATTTTCCATATATTTTTTTAAAAAATGGCAAAGTTTAAGAACTACTAAAACTTGCAACAAATGTGTGTTCGTTCACTGATTCAGTCATTGAAAACTGTATCAGATACTTACACAGAGCTTAATGATTGGTGAACAATATACGAGCCCTGTCCTCAAAAAACTTAACAGTGTAGAAGAGACAAATAAATAAACAAGTATAAGACAATGCGTTAAGTGCCAAAGTAGTATAATGTAGCCTGGGGGAAAGCAGGTTTCACTGTGACTTACATCATGGTGAACTATGCTTTATTTATAGAAAAGAAATCAGGAATTTCAGATGCTCTGAGTGCCTCATCATCTGTAGGGTCAGCAACTGATCCACTGTAGCCAAGAAAAGACCACAGGGACCTCAGTGTGAACATGAATAACATATGCCACCTTTGCCAAGTGGTCCATCCATGTTTGTTTGTTCATTTATTAGAAGTCACTAAGTTGGAAGCTTGTTCAGCCAGTCTAGGTAAGGACCTTGGAATGGGGAGGGGTTCTGAGTATGGCTATAACTAGGAGATGGAGGGAGTAATACTTGCATATGGTACACACATATATGAACCAGGTCCATCTATAACCAACAATTCCTGGAAACTGCTCATTGAGCTGCTCCATTCTACTCAATCTCTTGATTCTCTAGTCTGGAGCCACCTAAATTTAACTGCTGGACTTGACTAGTATTACTCAGTAGCCTCATTAAGTCACCGAGATAAGAGAACTCATCATTACTAGAAGCTCCACAGGTAAACTACAGGGAGAATAGAAAGCAGACATTTTTCATTCAAGAATTTGTATAAATGCTACTCTTCTTTTGGCCCAATTTCTGATCACATCGATATAGGATCTGTTATACTTAGAAAGATAGTATACTTAGATTCAGAGAAATATTTTTTCCCTTTAACTAGTAAAGGCATAAGATTGTTCTAAATGACAGACACACTTTTTTTTCAGTAACTGTGCATGTTTAAAAAAAAAAAAAAAAAGCCATATGTGAAATCACAACAAACTAGCAGAAAAAATTAGGGTGACAAGAGTATAAAAAATATTCCTCATCATCCAACTCCTGAAAAGTCAAGGACATGCTGTGCAAAAGTAAAGAAGAGAAGATGATTGCAATTAAGAAACCATGTGGAATCTAAGAAAGCCCACAAACCTCCCCTAAACTATTAAAGCCTGCATTTCAAACAATATTTCTGGTAGAAATCAAGTGGGGGAAAACCTGTTGCCATTCCATCAGTGTAATTTTTTAAATAAGTTTTAAAGTTCATTTAAAGCTGCTATTAAATCAACATTTAGTTGAACGTACAGATGGATATAACTCAGTAAATTCAGTAAATGTACAAATATTTCTCAAAAACTAATCTCTCTCCACATGTCTCTAAATTTTTCTCTATGGTGGTCCTATGCTTAGCTGAAAAGGGTATTTTAAAAGACATACATTTTAGGGGCGCCTGGGTGGCTCAGTCAGTTAAGTGTCTGCCTTCGGCTCAGGTTATGATCCCAGGGTCCTGGGGTTGAGCCCCGCATCAGGCTCCCTGCTCAGCGGGGAGTCTACTTCTCCCTTTCCCTCTGCCTGCTGCTCCCCCTTCTTGTGCTCTCTCTGACAAATAAATAAAAAATCTTTTTAAAAAAATAAAAAAATACAAGACAGACATTTTAAAAATAGATTTTTTTTTCCAGTTTTAGGATATAGAACTCTATTGTAATCCCCTAATTTTTTTTTATACAAGTGAATTTGATTCATACATGTCTCTGATCTTTTTAAAAGGTACCTGGCATACAGCCACCTTCTCTTAGCACTGCCTTCTTAATTCAGTGTCCAGTTCATGACTTAAAGGCAGAGAGGAGATGGGCTAGAGTAAAACTCAGATCCAGAATTTTTTTTCTAAATAAATATCTTTTCCCTCCCAGGAAAACTCAGCAGCCAAGATTTAGTAAGCTTCAGAGGGGCCCATGACCCCTGAGAGGCACTGCAGTCCTATTCTGGGCTTCTATCATAATTTTTGGTTGAAGATCGCCTATGCACAAGCTGGCTGTTTATGACCTTCTTCCTGAAGGTGCTTCAGTTACTGGTGGCAGCCATCTGGATGTGCTCACAGATTGGAAGCAGCTGCAGAATGTCTGAATATTCAACAGGACCAACAGCTGTTAGGAAGAGCAAGGAGTTGTTAAGGTCCTCTGGTTTCAGACACACCCTGGATTTCTTTTTCTTCCTGGCTTATGCAAAATGGGGAATGGAATATCTGCCTTCTCCCTTTTCCTTTCCTCCTTTCTGGGGGCACTCGTACCTGCCATGGAAGGAACCTACAAAGCCAATGCCAGAGAAGTGACCTCTTTTTTCCTGTACCTCCCTATGGTCTCTTTAAATATCTCTTTTAATTTGTGCTCTAATATTTTTTAGAAGGGTTATAGGCTGCCAGCTATGACAAATGAAACATTTCCCCAAATGATCCTTTTTTTTTTCTTTATTTATGTTAGGCCTTCATAATTTACAGCAAAATGGTGGAGATGTCAGTGAGTCATCTTCCCAAAATTGGGAAATAAAGGGCATGATTCATCTAAATATTATCTGAATATCATTTGAATGTTACTTAAAAATCCACAAATAGTTAATAAAAGAAGACAGAATAAAGTCACCTTAAGAAAAGTGCTAGCAAGCAGCCAAACTGCACTAGGAACTGAATCCAGGAATTGACTTAAGTCCAAATTCTTTCCACTATCATGGTACCATGTATTATTACTGTACATAATCAGGCTTCAAGGAGATATTTTTTATTTAGAATGAACAACTCAAATATTGATGTTATAGGTGGGTGTGTATACAAAAGGCTCAGAAAGGCCAATGCAAGGCCTGAAAATACTTAATGAAGATAATGGGCTTAGTTGTTGGATAGAATTTAGTTGAAAAATAAGCCTATAAATGTTACTATGAGTTTCTTGGCTTCAGTTCCTCACTTATAAAATGAGAATAATTTTACCTATGTTGAAGAGTTTTAAGGGTTATGTTTAATGAATGTAATGGGATTATGCATTGTGCCTGAATAATAGTAGATTCACAGAAAGCTACTATCATTGTTAACATTTTTATTGTTATTGTCACTACGCAAATTGTGATGAGTATTCAAACGAATTACTAGACATGAGCAATCTATTATAGAGGTTAAGAGCATGGGCTCTAGAGTAAGTTATACTTGTGTTCAAGCTCCTACTTAGTTACTTATTTGCTTTATGACCTTGGGCAAGCAGCTTCTCTAAATTTCAATCTCTTCATTGGTAAATTGGGAAAAATAATAGTGTCTACTTGACTGGGTTATTTTCAGGACTAATTTCATAATAACATAACAGTAAATTAACTCAGGCACTAGCACAAGACGAGTGTACACTAAATGTCAGCTATGGCCATTATAATTTTATTGTTAGTTTTGTCTTATGCTAAAATTAGGACATATTATTTGTAACCTTCTTCAGGATTATCTTGATAGGCTTCAGAAGAAAATCAGAGTGAAATCAAATTTACACAGCCCTGATGTACAAGAACTTCCCTATTAATTTAGAAAAAAAATCTGGGAAGAAAATTCACTGGTTTAGTAAAGGTTAAAGTGAGAAGCTCCAAGTTAGTGGGAAGGACATGTCCGGGCAGGTAGGGGACCTCTGTTATAGGCCCAGGCCTGACAACAATCAGCTGTGAGGCTTTGGCCATTTAACATCACATGTCACGATATCCCCTTCTGTAAAATAAGGCAATTTGGACAGAAGATCTGTAAGGCTGAATATTCACTGAATCTGATCTAACAAGGTCTTATCATTCAGCTCTTGGAGAAGAAAATGTGGTGCTTTAAGTGGAATGAGAGTAAAGGAATAGTCTGAAATATAAAGAATGGTCCTTATTGTCCTCCTGTTCCATGATAATTTTTTTTCTCAGTTGATGTAATAGTTGGCTTTTTAAAAAATTCCCCCTAAAAAGTCCAGATGCTATGATTTCATCAACCACAAACAAATGGGGCAGGGCTGGTGAGGTCCTGGGAAAATGAACATAATTCCTGGAAAACAAAGTTTATATCCTAACGAGCTGTCCCAAAAGGACTAGATGGACTCATACCCATTAGCACTCTGAAACCAAACAATTCGTGATTGATTGTAAAATTTCCATCTAGCTTAGTACTATATTTAAATTATTAACACCAGATAACTTACATTAACTTATCTTACTCTTGGATTTTTATGTGAGGTATCAATCAACTGTGATTATTCTTTCTCTGGGTCCATAGAGAACACGTTTGGCCACTAACATGATGACTATACACCAAGTGACACTATTTTCAAATAGTCAACTATTTTCTGGCCAAAAATCAATCTAAAGATTATAAGCTAAATCAACCATTCTCTTCTATTTCTGGCAGTAATTCAAAAGTGCAATTTCCCTCACAGTTTAGGACATGAGCATCCTTTCATAAATAATTATCAACATGTAAAAACTTCCCAGTGGCTGAACACATGGACTTGTAAGTAGTGCCGAGCTTACAAATCTATTTTCCTTAGGTGGTTTAACTCATTTTTCCTGAATGTTATTACAGTTTAAAGTATAGGAAATGTCTGGTGGAGACAAAAAGGGAATGTGTTAATGTTACAACCCAGAAAACCAGGAACTAAAGACATACTGTGAAAGTTATACCATTGAATGCAGTAAGTACTAACCTAGCAAAAGAAGAATTCTATTATAATATATAACTCGGGAAGGGATCGCTTGGACCAAACAGTTTATTTAGCATGAATTTTTATTATGGTGATGTTTTAAAAATATTTAATGACAAATGTGGTTCATGCATCAACCAAAACCCATGGGGTAGACCTGGGGGTAGCCCTCAAGAGGTTAAGGGTAGTGTCTATTTATTAACTTGTAACACACATTTCAATATTATGACAATCAAAATAAACACATTAATAATGTACTGGGTGAATATCAGAACTAGCTCTAAATTTGAGAAACTTTCAGAGACAAGAATGTTCAAGGATCAACAACTATATAGAAGTAAAGTCCCAATACTACACAATTCCCAATAGGGCTCAATCACTCTCTTTCTTGGTATGTCTTCACTGCCCCATGACTCTCTTGTTGATTCCTATGCTCAAGGCATCATCACATGCTAGAAACTTCTCCTGACTCCTCCCTTTACCTCACTTTCCACCCCACCCCAAACTGGGCCAAATGTCTGCCTCTATAGCACCAATATATTTTCTATCACAACACCTGCAATTACAACAAATGGAAAGTATTTTCTTTCCTGTCTGCCCCTCTTCCTCAGTTCTAAGTTAGTACAAAAGAATCTCCACTAGACATAAGCAGAAAAGTGTATGTCATGGTCCACTGTGTCCCTGGAACAAAGTAACCCTCAATAAATATTTGCAGAAGGAATAAATCACCTGGAATTCTTTTTAAAATTCAAATTCCCAGGTTCCATCCCTAAAGATTCTGACACATTTGTAGCAAGCATCTCAAGTGGTTCTGATGCACATAACCCAGGAATCTTTTTATTCCCAGAAAACAGATCTATTTAGCACTTCATTAATTTTTCAACTATTTGTATTAATTTGCTAGGCTGCCAGAACAAGGTTCACTACCTGGGTGGCTTGTAAGCAACACAAATTTATTACCCCTCACTTTCAGAGGCTAGGAATCTGAAATGAACATTAGCAGGATTAGTTCCTTCCGTGGGCTGTAAGTGAAGACTCTACCCAAGGGCTCTGTCCTTGGCTTATGGATGACTGTCTTTATCTTTACATGGCATTTTTCTCTGTATTCATATCTTTGTCCATAATTCTCTGTTTTATAAGGACACCAATCGTATTGCATTAGTGGCCTTAACTTGACTAATTACACTGGCAACAACCCTATTGCCAAATAAAGTCACATTCTGAGGTACTAGAAGTTAGGATTTCAACATATGAGTTTGGAGGGGGTACACAATTCAAACCATAACACCACTTTATTTTGTGACTCTCTGATCTTCTCTCACAAGAAATATGTTACAACATGCTGAGCATGACAAATTTTGCTATGTCACTATTACCTAAAATGTGATGTTGACATTACACATATACTTAGATTTACAAAGAGCTATCATCTTTAAAAGTTGGGTTAATTTAAATTTTGCTAATTTGTGTTTTGACGGCATATAAGAATATACCAATTAAAGTACCTTTTTAAAAATTCTTTTGTAAAGTTTAGAATCTGTTAAAAATAATTATTCATTTAATGTACTGATCTTGAAACTTCAGTTCAGATTTTCTTCAGGCAGGGCACTTTTAGGAGAATCAGAAATATACAATTATTCTATGGTGTAGACAAATTTTAAACAGATATGAGGAAAAATTTTGGACTTATTCATTGAGAGAGTCTTTCTGAATGCAAAAGAGAAAGTGCAGACTACATGCAAATCCATGAGAATGAACTATAGAACAAAAGAGAAATTTTATAGGAAGGTAAATTTTGTGTCCCAAAGATTAAACTTCAAAACCGAAGACTCAAAACAAATAAATAAAACCCTAAACCTTCTGTATGAGATGATGGTGAGGGTCCAAATTACAGATTAATCCAACCAATTTCTACTGAGAGTTTACAATGTGCTAGAGGCTTCGATTGATATAAGAAGACAGACTCTGCCTTCCAAAAGCTCATGGTCAAGGTACAGAGATAAATGTGTAAATACATAGCTCTGATAAATGACAAACTATATTAGGAATTATAATTGTTAACCATGGTCTCGAGATGTTTAAGTTTAAATATATTGTCCCACAGTTGCCATATTTCCATATTATTTACATGTCTTGATTCTTCCTTCCTTCATCTCTCTCCCTTTCTCTCTTCCTTTCATTTTCAGTTTTTCAGTCTTACAAATACCAATCCCATATTTGTTATATACATTGAAAATAGTTTCCCAAACTGTCTTTCAATTTTTTAAGATTTTTTTAAACCAGAGTTTGTACTGATACTATCTCCCACAAAGCATTATGTTGAATTTCAAAAGGATAAAGCCTGTAAAGTGCCCAGCATAATACCTAGTACTAAATATTAGTTGTTCTTTCTTCTTTCTTTCTTCTGATTACTAGAGGTCCTGGATATTTCTTGTTATATTTATTCCTAAGTATTTTATATTTTTCTGAGGACTCAGAAATAAGTAATACTTTAAACCTTCTATCTGAGATGATGGTGAGGGTCTAAATTCCAAGTTTGCTATTATAAACCGGTAGCACCTTTGAAAATATAATGGTAACGAGAATATTTGGAATGAAGGGAATGTCATTTTACTTTCACAATGTCATGATTTCATATAACTTTTGAAATATTAAAAATGTTAAATGGTTATTTCTAGACACCTTTCATATTGTGTGAACAATTTGCCACATCCCGTCACTTCCATTTTATATCAGCTTATTTTCACTAATCAAAAAAGACATTATTCCATAACCAACTTCCACATATTACTAACCAAAGGAATACCAGTCTTTGAATGTTTTTCAACCACATTAGAGGAAGTCATCTGATAAACTGGGCTTGATTCTAGGCACGTGAAGAGGATGCAAATCACAGTGGTATTTTGTAGTTGTTCCAAATCACTAAATGTAGTTTGATCTTAGCTTTTCCATTACATGTCATCTGATTAATCAATAGATTGTAACCAGATTATGTAATTATAAATCCTCAGAGGAAACTTTTAGTTATGATAATAACAAACATTCCTATAAAAAAAGATATGACAATTCCCTTGGCCAAAGTCCTTTGACTTAAAGGAATTGTGGTTCTAACAGCTTCAGGTTGGCAGGTAAATATAAATTATTGCTGAATGTTGTAAATGAAATTGTATCATATGCAGCATTAATAATATACAGTTCTGAATTTTGCTCTTATAATTTATAAATTATAAGAGCAAAATAAAATGTAGAAATACAGTCCCCTCCCCCCCCTTTTTTTTTTACAAAATCCACCCATCTTTCTCCATTTACTTACATTATTTGACCCCGTCTTCACTTCCCATTACATATATCAGCTTTTAGTAACATAATGACATCCAGATCTGTTGACTGTCTATGTTGGACCATAATAACTCCTTTACTTGTGTTTGAGGAATATAGGCCAAGGCAAACAGCCATTTAACTTCTTCTTTCTTTCAGGAACTTCTGGGACATGCTTGGAAGAATTACACTGCCATTCTTTTCACCCATGCAGAGAAAATAGAAGAGGCTGGGTTCAGTGAAGATAAATATTTGCATGAGGCCTCCGATACACTGCTAACCCTGCTAAATTCTATTCAGCACAGATATATTTTCCAGTATAAAAAAGGAAACTCACTTAATGAACAAAGAATAAAAATCTTAGAAAGAATCATGGAATTTATAAAAGAAAATTGTTACCAAGTTCTTACCTTTAAATAAAATTTAAAGTAACATAATGACATTGGATTTTAGAGTCAGAAACCTTGTTTCCAAATGCCTCTGTTAGGGGCACCTGGGTGGCTTAGTCATTAAGCGTCTGCCTTCAGCTCAGGTCGTGATCCCAGGGTCCTGGGATCGAGCCCCGCATTGGGCTCCCTACTCGGCGAGAAGCCGCTTCTCCCTCTCCTACTCCCCCTGCTTGTGTTCCCTCTCTCACTGTCTCTCAGTCAAATAAATAAAAATAAAAATCTTTAAAAAAAAAGTGCCTCTGTTAGAATGGATGAGGACTCTCAGAACTCCCATAGGCGGCTGGGGAGAGTGTACATTGGTATAACCACTTTTGGACAACTATTTGGCAGTTAAGAAAAATATAAAGTAATCAAGACTCCTAATGCAAATCCTGTGACACAGCCATTGCCCTCCTAAGTATACATTCAGCAGAAAGGTGTACATTTGTGCACTAAAATATATGTGTGTAAAAGAATGCTCATAGCAGTACTACTCATAATAGCTAATTAGCTATTGGAAATTATCCAAATGTCCATTAATAGTAAAATGCATAAGCAAATTGAGGTATATTCACACAACGGAGTATTACACAGTAATGAGAATAATCAAACTACAACTGCATGTAACAATATCAATGAACTGCCCAAACAGAAAGTTGAAAGAAGCCAGACATAAAATAGTCAAATCATATGTTGTATGATCCCATTTGTATAAAGTTCAAAAATAGTCAAAACTGATGTAATATAAACTACTCTGATGTTAGAAGTGTTAGAAATCAGGAGTGGTCACTCTTGGGGAGAGGATAACGAGCATGCACTAGGCAGCTTCTGAGATTCTGGTAATGTTTCATTTTTTGACCTGGAGGCTGGTTTCAGAGTTTTCACTTTGTGAAAATTCAACAACGAACACTTCTGATTCATAAACTGTTTAGTATATCTGTTATATTTAAATAAAAGTTAAAATGAAAAATTATTACCTATATTTTAAAAACTAGCTCCACTACTTACTTGATGCTAGACAAGGAAAATTATTTAATCCTGTGAAATCCTCATTTGGAATATCTACTTGATAGTTACTATAATGATTAAACAACTTGGCTCACAGTTAGATGCTCAATAAATGTTAACTTTCTTTTCCACCTTCTTATGACCTGTGGTTCCTATTTAGGGTTGGAAATGTAGGTAAAAATTCAGAGCCTAGCCCTGCAGCAGAAACAAGGGTAACAACTGTAATAACCCAAAATGAATAAAGTCTTGACTGAAGAAGAGGCTTCTCTACCTTATAAGGTTAGTCACTTTAGCTTAGGAGAGAGCTCCAGGATGGTCTCAAAGGCAGCAGTGAGGATTGAAGGAAAATAATTCTAGTCAATCATAACTGCCAAGACCACCACCAAATCAAAACTGGATCACCCTTATGTTCAACATTTGTACATGAGCTTTATAATTTATAAAATTCTTTCACTAAGATAGTTCCTAATTTACCAACAGCTTGGTTTCATATTTTTTAAGTGTGTAATACACTGTATTTCCTATTAGAAATAAGATTATAGCTGGTGATTATTCTCCCAGGAAAGGCCTCAAAAGCCTACTTAGTGCTTAATTTTACCTGAACTCTAGCACAAACGGTATTAGAAAGCCTAGAACCAAAATTTAGAAAATGCTTCTATGGGAAAGTGTAATTCAAATTCCAACTTGAAATAATGTCTCTCTTTATTTCTCTTCAGGGGCCCTTCTATCATGGGTCCGGGACTGTAAAGTGAGAGCTTCAACAAAGGAGCTGATTTAAGAACTAAATGGGCACTGACACTTCCCTAGGGGTTGGCCACTTGGTGACAGAAAAAAAAAAAAAAAAAAAAAAAAAAAAAAATATATATATATATATATATTTTTTTTTTTTTAGATTTATTTATTTATTTATTTGAGAGAGTGAGCACAAGCTGGGGAAGAGAAGCAGAGGCAGAGAAAGAAGCAGGCTCCCCGCTGAGCAGGGAGCCGGATGTGGGGCTCGATCCCAGGACCCTGAGATCATGACCTGAGCCAAAGGCAGACGCTTAACCAACTGAGCCACCCAAGCGCCCCCAGAAAAAGAGATTTGAGGCTGAGAAGCTGAAACCGAAGTAAATGGTGAAGAGAGGGGAAAATTCACATTTTAAGTCCTTCATATTCTTCATTCATGTGATGTCAGCTAACTCTTCTAGAACATTAATACTAGTTTCAGGAAAGATAGGTTGTACAGAACATTAAGGGTTCAAGATCTTTGAGGCTGGCATGGTGTTACAAATTAATGGAGGGAAGGTGCCTCCAGTTTCAAAGAGGAAGACTTCTGTGATGTTCTTCCTTCAATTATTTTAGATTTGCATATATATGTATATATACATAACTCCCTAAATGTGATCATATAACATATTTTACTTTCTTTTAGTAGTCTTGTATTTTGCTTTTTTGGTTCGCCATTACCTCTCTCCTCTCCCATCTCTCCTTCTCCTCATGCATATCAGCCAATTAGATGGAGCTTATGTCAACAAAGAGCATGATATGCACCATTCCTATTTTCTGCATGTCCAAGTAATCACACACACAGAGTACACATATACATATAAGCATATGGAGGACTTTTCTTTTTCTTTTTATTTATTTATTTAACTTATTTTTGAGGTGGGGAGGGAAAGGGCAGAGAGAGAGAGAGAATCTTAAGCAGGTTCCACACTCAGCGCAGAGCCTAATGCAGGGCTCAGTCCTATGACCTTGAGATCATGACCTGAGCTGAAATCAAGAGCTGGATGCTTAATCAACTAAGCCACCCAGGTGCCCTGACTTCTGTTTTTTTAAAAAAAAAACATTTTCATATTATACTCTCTACAGCATCTTTTTTTTCACTTAATACCACCTCATTAAAATTCCTTCAACTCTAAAATGTAACTTAAATTCACCCCTTTTAACACTTCAGTGTATTTGTAACAATCTGTGCAACTACTTCTCTATTGATGTGCATTCCAGTTTTCTGCCACCCAAAGTCATGCTTCAACAACTATTCCTGTATATGTATTTTTATATAATATTGACTTTTTTCCTGTAAGTTATATTCCCAAGAGTGGAGTTTCTGGGTTGAAGTGTACATACAATTTAAGTTCAATATATCTTACCCAATTTCTTTTCATATTGTAAGAAATTTTTTCACCAACGTTTGAGTACTCTTTCCCTATATTCTTGTCATCAATCAGTGTTATCATCTAAAATACCTACTAACACCCATTTGATAAATGTAAAATCATGTTACATTAATTTGCATTTCCCAGACTACTATTGGGAGTATCTCTATAAGCATGTTGCTCATTTAGATTTACTCTTCTATGAATTGCCTCTTTACATTCTTTGTCCTTTTTATCAATTTTCTACTGGATTACTTCTTACATGATTCTTTGCTTGACCAACACTTTTTAAGGCGTAAACTTCTCCTAGCCCCACCTGTGCACTTCCTTGTAAAATCTGGTCTCAGCAAGAACTCTGGTAGGTCAGTTTAACCAGAACCCTCTCACTCTCAATATCTGATCAGGTTGCTAATTCTCCACCAACCCAAGTGACCCTGATCCCCACCCTGCTCCTTGGCTGTAAATTCTCCCTTGCCTATGCTACACTGGGAGTTGAGCCCAATCTCTGCAGTAGTTCTTATACCTATCTTGATGGTCCTGAATAAAGTCTGCCTTACCATCTTTAACAAGTGTCATTGAATATTTTTTTAACACTCCCTGCTTGGCAAAATAGAAGAGTTCTATGTATACTATAGATATTAGTCTTCCATCTGTCTTTTATGTTTTTTTTTTAATTCTCTTATTTATTCCTTAACTTTATGAGAACTTCTGCCAAACAAAATTTGTGAATTTTCTTATACTCATATATTTCTATGTACATGATACAAGATACACTTTTAGTTTCATTTCCTTCCAGATGTGTAACCAATTATATTTTCTCTATTTATCAAATAATTCATCCTTTTCCTACTGAAGAAAGAAAAACAGAGACAGAGGTAGGTAGATATATAGAGAGAGCTATCTCCTGTATCTATTTCTGGATCTGTTCTGGATTCTTGTTTCTTTCCATTATTTATTTTATATTACTGTCAATACCAGAATGATTTAATCAAAATGTCTTTATGTTATTCCTTGACATCTAGAACAAGTTTCTCTTGTTTTGGTTATTTTAAAACACTTTTCTGGATACTCTCAGGCATTCACTTATGTATTTTTTCAGATTTTTTTTTCTAATTAAAAAAATTTTTTGTTTATGAAAAATGGTATTTTATGATATTAAATTCTCCCATGCAAGCATATAATATGTTTCTTCGTTTTCCTTTATTTTATATTACTGTATTTCCTGCATTTTTCTTTTCCTTTACCAAATCAGCTTTGCTGATCCTTGATAACTTGAAAGTTCTATTCTAACTGATGTGCGTTAAGGATTATTTCCTTGTTCCTGATTCAGAATCAAGCACTATTGTGTGATGACAAGGTAACAACTATTTCTCTAGCCAAGAACTTCCCTTCCACACAGCATCATGCCCTCACCTGCTAAAGTAGACCTTTAGAACACTGTCATTTCCTCTGTATCCTTATATCCTTCCCAGGTCCTCCTTACGGAAGAGGGCTTTGGAATGCTTTTCTTTTCCCATTACCAGATTTTGCTAAGACATTTAACTCAAGACTTCCCTAACAGATTGCCCCCTCTGTTCAAAAGTCCTTTCTTACCAATTACATTGACCATTCCCGGTAGTTTATCCTTATCTCTTTTAACTTAATATAGAAATATTAGGTCCATTCCTTACCACTGTTTTCATCTTCCCGCATCTTTCTAGTTAGTGTGTTATATATACTCCTAATATACTCTTAATTCTAGCACAGTATCCAAGAGGCATTAAATTCTAGACATGTTCTTCCATGTACCATTATGCAGCAGTAATCCTAACACCTCATAATAATCAGCATAGCGGATGTAGAG